TCTCCTCTTTTTGAAAAAGACCCTCTGCAGTGCAGAGATCCTACAGGCTTAGCAAACAGTCTGGGTCAGGAGACTACAGTGTTCATGGCTGATTATCTTTGACTGAGAGGGAATCTATCACATGGCAAGATGGACGGATTTGATCTGGGTCACAACTGAACTGAAGGTTTCTTTTTTTATTTGTACTGGGTCACATACAGGCTTTACAGGCCCATTGTTATATGTAGGCAAGACAATATTGCCATCCAGGAACGTATAAAATTCCAAATTGACATGCAGTTATTTTTATGCCTTAACTTTCTAAATGCCTTTTACATACATGAATTAATTATTTTCTGGATCATGGGCTTTTATTCTCGTTATTACAGCGCAGCAAGACAGCAACAGAAAAGGGCGTGAGAGAATGAGGATGACACAAAGCAAAGGGCCACAAGTTGGAATCGAATCCACGCTGCTGCGAAGGACTTCAGCCAACATGGGGTGGACAATCTATTCGCTGAGCTAGGAGCCGTCCTGTGGATTATGTATTGTTGAGATGAGAGGGGTTTTTTTGTTTGTTTTTTTTCTGGCAGAAAACTGGGCTTAAATCAAAACTAAGAATGCTTCTCATCATTTTTTTTTTTTTTTGTTATACCCTTCTCCGTGATTCAAACATAACAGAATATGTGTGATAAGCTTCCCAAAAGATGCAAAAGCAGTTTATATTAAAAGGCTGCAGAGGTCAGTGATGTTTTGCTTTCATTTTGGATTTTGTCAGGAATTTAAATGGCCTGAGCCTCAGTGCTGTCTAGTGGCACATGAACATGAGACTTTCATTTGTCTGAATAAAACACTGCTGCAGTGACCCAGGATGGGACACTGTGGCACATCCACCCAAATCACATACACACACAAGCACACACGCAAGTACATAAAAAAATGAAATAATACTGTGCAAAAGGCTTAGAGGATAATCCAAGTGAGTGGAGTGTACTACATCGTCACAGGAATTAAATTCCCTCTTCGTCCAAAAAAGGACATGGCAGTAAGGATGGGTCAGTGGATGTCACACACGGACACGGCCACAAAGCTGCTCTCTTTACTTCCCCTACCTCGCAGCAGGCTATCTGTTCATGCACTCATTTCTGCAGCGTTTGTGTGTTTTAATCTGTCGGCAAAATTTCACACCAATACACAGCCTTTCTGTGATGTGATGCAATTATTTAACATAAAAGCAAAATCTTCCACCTCCAGCTAAGTCTTGATTACATGTCTTGATCTAACTGTAAATACAGTTGTGACACTTGAAGTTAGCGTCCTTGTCAGGTCAGCAAAGGCATAGCAGCCCTGTGGGGACATTCATGATAGAGACAAATAGCCATTCTGACAGACAACTATCATGATATACTAATATGACTCTATAGCAACACGCACATGCTTAATGAAGTTTTTATGAACCTGGTTAAAGGCTATTTGGTGCATGCATTTCCCTTCGAGCTAAGTTCACAACAGTTATGCCACAGTTGGCAAACCACCAGGCTCGGGGGCCAGCGAGCGCCCCGTGCACTCACAACATTTTCCAATTAAGGATTTGTGAGGCATTAATGTGGCGTGGCCTTTTGCAGACATCATATGGGTTTCAGGTTACATCAAGATTGAAATCTCTCATAGAGCCACAGAGCGCAGAGGAAAAAGCTCAAATAGAAACAGAACGATGATCCAAATCAAAGTTGTGTGTGTGTCTTTATGATAATCCGGTGCAATCAGCAGAGATTGCAAAATGGCTGGAGAGAGAGCATGTTTACTACCAGACTGTAATGTCTGAGGCTGCAGTGGCTGTATTGTAATTCTTCTGCTTCAGCAATTTAGTGTTTTAATTTGATAAAGTTGTGGGGGGGGTCTCAAAGGACAGTTAACAAAATAATGGTTACAATTAAAGCAGCAGAGGTTGAGATATCCTGACTTTTAGTACGAGTACAGGTCAAACCCCAAAAACACTTCATTTTAGGGCTGTACCTGACTCAGAATTATATCAGTCTAAACAGATTTGGCAGTTTAATACAAATATTCAATTAATCGTTACTCTTTTTCCATACAGCGTTTGAGATTTTGAACAGGATTTGCAACATTCTGGGTGACACTGAGTTGGGCCCCTGAGCTAATGCAGGCTAACTTCTCAGAAGGCAGAAAATAATGTTAGCTCGGAGCCTGACCAGGCAAAGCCTCTCTTTTCTGCTTCCATCTTACACAGACTGACCCTGGCTCTGGGTCTGCAGCTGTCTGTATCAGGGAGCAGAATGAAAGCAAAGAGCACTCAATCGGCAGCTAAATCTGGGAACTATGACGACCCAAGAAGTACGCTTCCTGACCAAAAAAAAAGCCCTGCTGGACTTGGAGAAATCTTAGTCAACTGGGGCGTCTCTAACTGATTATTCAAACCTTCAACTTTGATGGGGCAGCCTCACTACATTTCCCATAATGCTGCTCAATACTGTATCTTAGTTAGACCATCCCTGTCTGTTAGATACCTATGTTTTACAAACTCCACAACTTCAGTTGGTAAGAAGATTATCATAGTTGACTAAATGTAAATATTTCAGCTAACTGAAATAAAAACCAAAACTAGACTCTGGAAAAAATGAAAACTATCTGAAACAAAATTGTGGAGAATAGTTACAAAACTACTTATAAAATAAAAACATACAGGAAATGTCTTTAGTTTTAATCTTTGTCAACAAAACTAACCTGAGGAAGTCTTGGTCAGGCTGTTCTAATGCACTGTTTGCATATATGCCTATAAATAAAATAATGCAGTACAATTTGTCCATAAGCTCACAATTTTGACACCACAAACACAAAACCTACACGTTCGGCAGAATCTCCTCCCTCTGATGAACAGATTGTGTTGACGATTACATTCATGGTTTGGCATCAAAAGGAAGAGTTTAAGAGCCAGAAATGGGGAAGGCTGATGGTGTTTGGAAATGTGTGAAACCAAGTGACTTTAATGTTCGTCATCACCGTGTCTTTTCCTAACCCTAACCTACGTAACTATACTTGCCTAAAATTAAAGACACCCAGCTGTGTTTCATTTCTTACACCTCACCAAAGTGACTCTGCTTGCCTAAACTTAACCTATGTAACATTATGTTAAGTACCTAACGCTATTCATGGGGCTCCTATTCATTAGATATCATACAAACTGTAGTATGAGAATACATTGCATTGTTATTAAGAATAGGATGTCTACGTGACTGAGTCAATTTCCTTTACAAAGTGTTTGTACTGTAGGGCTGCAACGATTGGTCTACTAATCGATGACTAATCGACTATTAAAATAATTGTGACTATTTTAGTAGTCGACTAATCGGTTTGAATCATTTTTCATAGAAAAGTACTATAAAAGTACCCCAAAATACTCTTACTGCAGCTTCTTACGTTCAAATATTGGCAGCTTTACACACTCTCCCATGAAGGTGAACTAAAACCCTTTGGCTTGAGTATGAAACAAGACATTAGATGACATAATTTTGGGGTTTGGGAGGGACAGACTGACATTTTTCAACATTTTAACACATTTTTCAATAAAATGATCAGTCGACCAATCGAAGAAATAATCGACAGATTAGTCGACGATGAAAATAATCGTTAGCTGCAGCCCTATTGTATTGTAACACCTATTTTGAACTTCTTAAATCGTGCCCTGACAAATACCTCCTTATAGTATAATAAGCAAACTAAAACTAACACTGAAACTTACAAAACAAAACTAAAATTAAACATTTGTATACACTAAAAACTAAACTGAAACGGCATATGCACCCTGGAAGCCAACTGTAAAGAAACTTAATTGAAAACAGAAATTAAAAACCATATAAAAACTGATGATAAATACAAAACTGTAACTACTCTGTAACAGTCTCTCTGACATTTTTCAGTTTCCAGACCAACAGACTGAGATAACCCTGTTGACATCATAATTACATCACCGGGGCTTTTTTTCCTCAGACTTGACGAAGCTCCTGCAGAGCCACAGATTACATTATACAACTGATTTCACAGGCTGCGTTGTGCTCCCTGTGACCAGTGAACTCATCATCATGTGTAAAATCTGTGGAGTGCCCCTTTAAGGTCATCCTAATGTCAGTACAAATACCTCACTCTGTAAACAGTCATTTGTGTCTTTGCTTTGTAATAATAACTAATCATATCAATGCAATAGCACATAAGTGGTGGCATATATACACATATACTCTGCCCTGTGTACACTCTTTCTGTTTCTCTTGTAATTTCAGCCTCGTATTGCAAACTCAGACAGATATTTCACCTTGAGGAATTTGTCCTTTAGCTTCTGCCAGCTCTGTGCCACTCAGCACTTTTTTTCCCCTCGGATTCCAGAAATCATTATCAGCCACTGTGGGGTATTTAAACAGCAGCCAAGTTGGTACTTTGATATTCCTCCTTCTCTCTGACATCCTTAACTCTCACTGATCTCACTGAGACGGGCACGGCTGCAGCAAAGACTTAGGGGGTAATTCTTCGTCTGAGAGGTGCATCTGTGTTGCAACGCTACACCACACACTGATGTCTGAGCACGGTTCATTTGAGTCGAATCTGTTCGACTTGGATACAGAACATGTAAAATAATAAAATAATCTGAATCCCTTGTTTTGTCTCTCATCCGCTGAGCCAACCCACATTCCTCTCGAGACGCCAAGAAAATCAATAATGCTGTAAATTTTGCAACAGTCACATTGAGGAAGAGCATCTGTGTTTTCTCAATCAAATAAGTGCATTCCAATCGCATCTCACACAGCAAGTATTTTTTTAATTTTCACAGTTTTCACAGAGAATATCACTGTCTTCACCCTGCTGTAGATGCTTTAGGTAAGTTTAAAGTGTGAAATATGTTGCACAGTTTCACCCACTGAATTCCAGGGGTTGTGTGCATGGGAATATTTTATAAGATGTTAGAAACCACAGGATGATCACATTACATGCACTCATATGCTCAAACTTACCATTCATGCCATTGTAGATGCTCCGATGGTGTGGCGACAGCTCGTCTCCGGCCGGCCTCCTCTGCCCGTCTCTCACAGGGCTGCCAAACTTCACATGGTCGGGGCTCATACTGTACTGGTGCCTATGAGTTTCAGGGCTGCCCCCCTGGACCACGCAGCCCTTTTCATGGTGCTCAGTGGCCCCTAAATGTGCCTGCCTGGGCTCTGGGCTCCCACAGCCTAAACTGCTAATGCTGCTCCTGTTGTGCCTCTGATAGAGCTCCCCACTGCCTCCCTGACCCGGGAAGTGCTGCCTCTGGCCCAGGAGGAGATCCGAGCTGTGGTGCTTGGGGTGCTGCTCTGGACTGCGTCGGCCCACGTTCCTACCATACTTTTCCGGGCTGAGGCCCCGCATCACTCGACTGTGGTCAGGCACGGATATGGAGCCACAGCGGGGCCTGCACAGCTGAGGCAAGGTGTATGGATACTCCAGGCTTGTACTCCGGTGGCGCCCAGCAGGGTGCTCGGGGCTGGACACATCCCTGTCTCCTCCACTTCCGCCTCCTATTCCACTGATGCTGCTACACCTGGGTTTGTGCACAAGCTCGGGGCTCCCTTTCTCCCCACCACTACCAACCCCACCCACGCCTGGAGCCAGGTGAGGCTGCTTGTGGTGAGGGTGATCGGAGCTGTCAGCGCTCCCGGCACTGGAGGTGCTGCTCCCGTCACCCACGTCTCTCATCAGGAGCCCCTGCCCGGGCACCAGCAGCAAACTACTCTGGCTGTCTATGGAGTTGCGGCACCCTCCCACGCCTACACTCCCTCCCCCTACGCTTCCTCCGCTGCCACTTCCTCCACCTACCACCCCCTTCTCCTCATCCAGCAGCAGGCAGAGCTCCTTCAGCTCCAGGTTCTCCCGGATAACCTCCTCCTGTCGAAGCTCCAGCTCCTTGAGTTTCTGGAGATAGAGGGTCACCTCTTTGCGCATGATGCTGGCACTGTAGCGTCCCAAGCGCTGCCACTCCCTGGACACACGTTTGCCTTTCTGGCGGTCGTCATCCAGGAAGCAGCACAAGTCCCGCAGCTCACGGTTGTCCTCCTGCAGCTTCTGGTTAATATCCTGACAGGAAGAGAGAGGAAAAACAAGAGGAAAAGAGAGATGGGGTTAAACTGAGGCCTAGGCATTAAGAAGCTTCATAAAATATGACAATGCTGATCAGAGCAGAAAGAACATTAATGTGCTTTTGATTTGGTACAAAACAAAATAATTTGTCTTCTATTGATTTAACTCCAGCTAAATCGCAGGAACCATTGTCCGATTTCAATCCATTTCACCGCTCTCTTAGATATCAGTCAAACGCTGTATGCAGTCATAATGAAATGAAATCCTAATCCTCTCTGTCTTTCCCACAAAAGCACTGACTCACTGTGTGCCATTCAATGTGAAGTACATAATGTAGACTAGAATGCTCTGCAGGAGATTGAGAGGCCACACACAGAAATAAGACTGGGTTACAGCAGTGAAATCACACGCCACGAACATTTTACACCCAGCAACGTTTACTTAAACATCCCTCCTTCACCTCCCCGAGAGCTCCTTCTCTTCTCTTCTCCCCCCCCCCCTCTCCCACTCTCTTACCCTCCAGCTCTTTCCTGTGTAATTAGGCAGCTCGGATAGGATGGGTGGAGAGGTGACGAGGTCTCCGAGAAAGGCAAATGATCCCCATGTGTTTCATCTGAGGCTACCTCAGGCTGGGTCTCAGCTTTAGCTGTAAATATTGTGGACATTTGTGTCACATTCTTCTTATTAGCAGTGCAGAAAATAGAAGCAGTAGAAAGGTCACTGAAAAAGGAGAATGCCTGCAAATACTTTCAAAGCAAATGCCACGTTCTTGAGGCAAATTGTGCTGCACATGCTGAAGATTTATGTGCAGGGATTGTCTAGGAATGTGAGGTGTGTAGCTCAGACAGGGGGAGATCTGGATGCCAGATTTGAGCACTGGCATATGATCAGAGAGACATGCCCTCCCCTTCAGTATTAGGCGGATGAATGTCTGCCTCATTGGCCTGTACTGTACTTTATATGTTGAGTTGTAGGGATGCAGTTTGCTTTCCCTTGTCAATTAAACTCTCTTTCATTTTTAAAACATTGAATTTCCCACATTTCTGGCAAAACTTAAATTACAACTCTAGCCCTGCTTTAGGTTAAGCATGCCCAACAAGCCTGTGCACACGGGTCTGCATTCATCCCCATCAGATTCTCACACAGGCCTACACAATGGCACACTGAACTTCAATGATACCATCTATTCTCACACCACGTTTGCAGAGGCGCTCTCTCCACAGCAGAACATCCCTCCTGCTATGCGCGCTCTCAGGTGCGCTCCAAAACCTATGATCTCATCCCTCACCGATGCGCGCCCCCTCACCTTCAGCCCCCTGATCTCGTTCAAGTGCAGCTGGAGGCTGCGATTGACCTCTCGGATGAGATTCCCGTGGTCCAGAATCACGCTCATCTTGTCGGCCTCGGAGCGCCTCAGCCGCCGCACCAGATCCTCCTTGGTCCACTTGAGCAGCTCCTCGTCAGTCAGCCCGGAGATGTCCTCCGCTGGACTTTCAGTCTTCGCTATCGACAGCTGGAGCTGGGGCTGGGGCGGCGGAGTCGCTTTCTCCATTGGCACAGCTCCTCCGGCACCGACAAAGGGCAGAAAATAGTCAGAGGCTCGTTGGCAACCTCTGCTCGCATCCGCTCCCCGGTCGACTTATGGTGGAAAACGGTTACCGGCAGAAAGTCAGTCGCATAGTTTGGCCTTTTCCTCTGTTGCTCCCGACTCTTCACTCTCTGCTAGAGCAACAGCTGACGATGCCGGCTGAGTGGAATACAGTGGAGAAGCTGCTCTGCTGTCTATCACTGCAACATCCTCTCAGCCGGGGTGGACAGCGGGCAGCCTACTTCCAGTGTGAGTTGCCGCCTCGGTTTAGTATCCAAAATCGCTCCCAAATGTGGTGGAAGTGTGAAAAGCTTGAGCGGACAGTCGGTGCACACACACCTGCTCACTGCGAGGCAGAGACAGGAGAGAGTCCGCTGTGCACGGCGGAGACACGGATAGAGGAGGAGAGGGAACAGCTCTCCCCCTGTCTCTGCCTCTCTCTAGCTCTCTCCCTCCAGGGGTTTATCCTCCACCAGAAATACCGCTTGGTTACAGCGCCGCTCCATGTTCACTGACACTCTTACAGGCTGTGGGAAATGCTGAGTTCACGTCCTCTCGGATTTAAGCCGCTTGAGGTGCAGGTGGGAAAACGCAGGTGTCCTCCAGGTCCTAGTATAGTGTAGTCCAGTGAATCTGTGGTTTGATCCAGCCGGGGAAGATTGCAACAGTAATCATTCATTGTGATCTCTTGGCACAACTAAATAACACATTTAAAGTATACCATTATTTTTGTGGATCAAGGTAAATTCAGGGGTCCAAAGAAGCGTCACACAAACAAGTGCAGATCTCAGCTTCTGCATGATATTTTTATATAGGCTACTTAATGTCTAGACATTATAGTTTTTTAGGATGTTATTTAACAAATAATCATCAGATATTACCTGTTCTAAATGTATAAGTGCAATTTGGGGGCACCCTGACCCCAAAATGACCTTTTTGTGAATCCAAAGTCAGTAAAATGAGGTTATAAAGCATATTTTTATTCAGTTTTCTGCACATATAAATTTGTTTGTCCATGGAAACCATGATGCATATCAGCACTCAGAGTAAGACCTTAGGTTTTTCATTCTTTGGTTTAACTGTTGGTGCCATTGAGGGTTGTTATCTGTTAAGCTGCCACTTGGGAAGAGCTATTTTATTGAAATAGCATTGTGAGCTTAAGAGTTTTCCTTAATACCAAACTAGAATTTGCACCTTGGGTAGTAGCAGTTAGTGAAAATTCTGACCTGGGTCCAGAGACTGGACCCATAAAACACAATCACCACTGATATCCCATAATGTTTTTGGCTGTAACAAATAGAAGTTTCCACCATTGCACCATATGTGTTTCATATCCCATCTAAGATGTACAGGATGCCTTTTCTGGTACATCATCATGAGGCACATCATTTCATATTGCTTTTGCAATTTAAAAAAATGTTGCTAATAGAACCAGTCAGCTCACACATACTCTGCACTCCTCTTCAATACAATCCCCTACATAACTCTCAAACTTACACCAAATTATGATGTTATAGATACTAGATATATACAGAATAATTTATATCCAGTTTAGATGCGGATACACCCATCAGAGCAGTGTGGCACAAACTGTAAGTGGAAAATTTGGCAAAATAATTGGTTGTTGGCTAGTAGTGCCCCAAGTACAAGTGTAATACATCTGAATATCCTCTTAAAAAGTGTTTTATTGAAAAGATTGACCCCCAAAACTTAGAAAAAGACACCAAATATGTCGGATAGTGTACATGGACCCAGAACATGTAACTGTAAAATGCTGAAACTTTGCTTCTGACTCCAAAAAAGAATGTTTCACCAAATCCATGAAGGTATACTTTTACTAAATGAAGCAGGAGGGTGTAAGAACCAATTAAAACTATGAAACATTGCTATAGCAATTTCTGACGTGACAAGTAAAGTGAGCATCAGGCGATCAATTTGTGTTTGGTGTAGTTTTAGATATTTTATTCAATAATTTGAATAAAAGTACTTTTAATAATCAGACTGTCCCATTCACAGTCAACCATTTCAGCTAGGCTAATACCCTACATGTTTTAAAGTGCACAGCAGTTATACATCAAGTTGCATGTCAAATGTTGAGCTGTGTTTTCTTTAAGAAAGTAAATTGTCAAAAAAGACAAATGACAGACTAAAATTAAAAATTAAGGACATAAAAAAGAGAAATTTTGAAATCAGTAGTAGACAAATCACGATATGATTTGTTATTTGTTATAGTGGTTAAACTTATTTAACTTATTATTTTCACGTTACAGAGACAGCATTGATTTATCAAATTAAGACTTGTGTATATGACCTTTATCAAACAGGATCATGACATTTATCATTGCTTTCAAAATAAACAATAACACATAGAGATTAACTTTAAATAAACTGACCAGTATTCCTTAAGACATACATTTCCGAATGTCCAAAATTAAAAGAATGTGAACATCTATAAAGCAAATGTTTCAACATTTCAGGTTCATGCACAAATATATGGTGGCATGGTGGTGCGGTGGTCAGCATTGTCACCTCACAGCAAGCAGGTTCTGGATCCAACCTGGGTGGGGAGTCTGCACAGAGGGAATACCCCACCCCAGGGCTCAAACCAGGAACCACTGTATCCACATTAACAGGAACCAGTTGTATCAGTATTACCACTTTGGTTGTATAGATTACAGAGTGTGATTCTCAGAGCATGGCGGTCCTGTCCCACAAGTTCTCTACAGCCAGCTATCAAGTGGTGTTGATGCAGACATATACCAAACATCCCAGTATGTGAGACGAGCCATGAATGCAGCATGCCATGACCACAACCAGCAGTTGGCACTGCAGCCCCATGGACAGCTGCTAATGAGAGGCAACAGGGTTTGTGTGACCTTGAGATGTAAAACTGTACAGTAAACATACAGCAGTAGGCCTACAGTGTATAGATAGGCCTGTGCTGCTTACTGTTCATTACTTATTTCAAAAGGGATGTCATCACAGTATGCAGTAGTGAACACTAATTAGTAAGGCTGGCTAGGAGCAGGCTACGCCCTCTGTTCATCCAAACAAATCAAGCTTGCCTCAAGTTGTATGAAAAAAAAAATCTGTGGGTTTGAATTGAGCTGCCAAAATACTCTTTATTTACTGTTTTAGGCTACAGCTGCAGTGAATCATATTGTATATGATGATAATATGGATGGAAAATGAGTTTTGTGTGTAGAATTAGAATCTATGAGTCAAAGTGCAGTGAATTTTGATGGAGATTAATCAAATTAAAACAAAATAAATAGTGATTTGCTCTTCACAGGACTTCATTCTGCAATGACAAGGGCATAAACTTCAGCAGATGCTACAGGAAGCCTCTAATAACAGAGAAAAAAAACATTGCATTTAATTGTATTATTACTAACAATAACTTCCAAATACATGTAGTAAATACAAAGTAGATGTGCAATATTTCCCTCTGGGTTATAGTGGAGTAGAAAAATAAAATGGAAATATTCAACTAAATACTTGAGTAACTTAATTTAGGCTACTTCACCTTCCACAACAGGTCAAAGGTCACACTATAAATAGGTTGTGATTAATTATCTCTCTACACAGTGGGTAACTAGGTGCTGAGATAACAAAGAGTTAAAACAAAAGTCTAATCACACGTCATCACACTGTACATGATAACAAGCCCTTTGCCACCGAGGCAGATGCACTGTTGCTCTGTAAACTCAACTTCCCATAGTAACCCTCTTCCGGTGCGTAGGCAAACCAGACCACGCACGCCCTAAAACGTCACGGAAAGAGGAGCCAATAGGAGACGCCCGAACTTGGAGTAACACGTCATTCTAGTAAAGTGCAGAAGCCGGCTGAAAGGGAGCGATCCCCTCACCGTCGTCTTTCTGTCCCGTACATCCGTCTGCCTCTGCCTCCAAATGCTGTAATATCTTTTGAGCACAGCAGACTACTTCGCTCTTGTTTAGACCCGAGGCCAACCTGATACACAAGGTAAGCACTCGACTTTATTTAGCTCGACAATAGGCCGCTAGTTTCTGCCTCCATTCATGAAGGGACAGGAAGTGGGTTAACGTTAATGCTACATTCCGTTAGCCAACGCAGCTAGCCGCACAACGTAGCGTTAGCTTGTTGGAGGGTTGAGTGACAGTCAGAGCAACGTAGAGATATTAGACATTATATCACTGTTAAAATGACTTTGTTTCGACAACACCATCTTTACTATGACGAGCCTTGTGTGGCTGCTTGCTGGAAGAGAAAGCGAAAACGATGTGTGTACGTCTCTGAATAGAAATGCTGTTCACGACAGATACCAGCCTTCACTGTTGGGTTCATCTGTGATGATACGTGGCCTGTCACAAGTTAGCTGCTGTCACAGAGGTTCATTTAATTCCCTGACATGATTTCTGGGTAAGGTTTCCTTGTACTTTCCATTAGAGGGCAAAAGGGGAAATCACCAAATACCCCCAACAGCAGCAGCAACTCCACATCCCCTTATTTGCATAGGGTCAAGCAAAGGTCATATTTCGTAAGAAAAACATTAGATATAGAGCAGCTGACATCTGTTTTTACTATCGATGAATCTCCTCATGGTGATTGCTTTAGGTTGCTTGTTTTGTCCAACTAAATATGTCAAAGACAGACAGAAAATGTCAGCAAAACACTCACACTGAAGGAGCTGGAACATGGGAATGTTTTTCAGTTTACCTACATGATCAATAATAAATCGAGCATCTAACAAGAGCTAGACACTAATAATGTTACATAAGTGGATGCATTTTTTTTATAGCGTCTGAGAAATGATAGCCTCTTGTGTCACACCAGGTGACCGTCACCTTTTATATAATATACAGCAACCTGGTGTCATACTGGAACAGAAGCCATTCGTTTATTAATTGATCAGGTGGCAGAGAAGTTAGATAACCAGCTATTTCAATATTAAACTGATAAGCTGATCAAGACTTCAGGGTGATGTCTTCATTTTGTTTGTTTTGTCTGTCCAACTGTCCAGTTCAGTTTTTCAAGACAGAAAGGCATAAGACAGAGAAAGGCAGCAAAACTCACGATGAAGAAGCTG